CCAAATGATGGTAATGAGATTATGTCCAGAAAAAGCAACTATCACTTTGTAGCATATCTTTGCCCTCAAAATTTTGGAAAATGACCTGAAACTAAAAATATTACTTATTTTTTTAAAGATAACTTCTATTATATGATCTCTCAACACCCCTGAGGTCAGTGCACATATTTCCATTTTGTAGATGTGGAAACAGACAAGGAGCAATGAAATGGCCTGCCACAATTACACACTAGTTAGTGGAGCTAAATCTAAAATCCAGATCTTTTAGATAGGTGTTTTCATTACTCACATTGGTTCACACTCCTTTTATTTCCTGAAACTATTTCTTTGTAGCTCCATTTCAAGCCAGCAGGAAGTGCCAACCGTACCCACAGGCAGTCTCGTTTTTGACTGTACAATGTGCCAAGTTGAGTGTTTGTTTTGATCTTGGCAGCAGATGCCCTTATCTCCATTAATGCAAACAGCTCCCAGTCCCCTATCACTCTTCCTAATTGGTCCACGTCCCTTAGGCTGTTGGCTATCATTCTCTTTCATGAAGTTTACATCACTAGGTAAAGAACACTTGCAAGATTTAAGCTGCTTGATTGACCAAACATAGTAAACCCATCTTTGATTTTGACTGAGTAGATCATCTTGAAGCTTTCAAATTACCAAGTAAAGGGCAAAGGCAGTACATTCTTTTAGAACAGCTGTGCAAATAGTTTTCATGTTTGGATTTAGGCTTTTTTAAATTCATAGAATATGGCCCTTGAAGAGTCATATTCACTTATACTTTGGGTGGCCTCCAAAATGTATGTCTTGCACAGAAGTAAAATATTCATTGTTCTATGCTATGTGTGATACAACTGACTCAGTTTTAACATTCTATTCACTATCTTCTATGCAATGATATATTTTCACATTGAAGGAAAAAATCCAGACCCATCAGTCTCGTCACTTGACCAATCGGATTGGTCCCAGAAATTGTTTTATTTTTTAAATGATTTTATTGATTTTTTTAGAGGGAGACAGAAACATTGAGAGAAACATCCATCAGCTGCCTCCTGCATGCTCCCTATTGGGGATCAAGCGTGCAACCTCAGGCATGTGCCCTGATCTGGAATCAAACCAGCAACCTCTTGGTGCACCAGTCGATGCTCAACCACTGAGCCACACCAGCTAGGCTAGGCTGAATCTTCTTTCTTTTAGAAATATATTTTTATTGATTTCAAAGAGGGAGAGGGAGAGAAACATCAATGATGAGAGAGAATCACTGGCTGCCTCCTGCACATGCCCTGACCTATGAGGTCATGGTTCGATTCCTGGTCAGGGCATGTGCAGGAGGCAGCCACTGAGCCGCACTGGTTGGGCTGAATCTTCTTTCTTGATGAAACCAGAAAGCACATGTTCCTATCAGCTCATGCAAATTTTTTTTGCTTCCCAACTGAAGTTTTTTACTCCTGGCATTACTGAGTTCCACATTAAAAAATTTCTAGTGCTGGGCAAAAATGTCATTTGGAAAAATCAGTTTAAAGCGTTGAAGACTGGGCTATCTCCAGGTAGATTCTACATTAATAGGAAGACATGGCTCTTAAAGACAGTAATAGACTATAACTTGATAGCCTTAACTGGGACTGAAACAGAGCTCTGCTAAAGTTGTTGATATTAGTACATGTTGAAAGTAGCATTTTATTCATGCATTACCCCAGAAGTTAGGGGGAGAAAGAAAACTAGTAGCAGCCATTAGATTGCTACTAATTCCAATCAGACTCTCCACATCAAGGCTGCTTAAACTGGGCCTGATATGAATGACTCCTACTCCGTCAGTCTCATATGAACTTACAAGCACAACATGCCCCAAGAGGTCTCCCTTCTGGACAGATGTGGCTGTTGTAGAATTTTGAATGTCTTACCTGTCATCATGTCTAACAAACTGTCAGTTGTGAATGAATTTGCACAAAGCCAAACAAGCTTTGGGGAAGTCTGTACAGGTTTCTAAACATATGCAAACCATTCTACAATACTCAGATTTAAGTGGCAAATAGTTTTTGAAAGGGGTATTACTGGCTTCAATTTTTCCTCCTCCTATTTTACGTTTTAGGCAATAATTCACTTTCATCCAATAAGACTTTCTCAACCTCCTACCGATACTTGGAGCCCCTTTGGAGATGCTTCCTTGGCATGTACTCTTCTTTTCTTACATTTGGGGACCTTTTTATTCATCTTTGTATTGAGTGTTTAGGAGAGCTCAAATTCATTCTGGAATTTAAAAATGCCTGATTGTCCACTGTGGGAACTCTGAAAATGTGTTGTGGAGTCCCTCTTATGAAGGCCACTAAATAAAAAGTGGAGACAAGTCCTATAGCCATTTTACCATCTATGAAAGACAGATACAGCTTTCTATTCAGTACTTTAAAGATGTCAGGGAGAGAAAAAAATTTAAAACTTCACATTAATTGCAGATCTCTCAATCAAGTACTATTCAAGAAGCACTGCATAGCTATTACTGAGGAAGGTGACATGAGTGATAGGAGATCGGAATGAGGGCAGGATAGGGCAGCATGTCCTTAGGTGGTCCTTCACTGACCCCCGAAATAGTAAACACACAACTAAAAAATACATATAGGAAGTGAGGGGACTTGTAAATCATGAGGAATGAAAAAGAAACACTATCAAATGTTCCTTAGAAACCTGCCTTTTCTTAAATAGTTCTTGTTCCAAAATGCTCTGCTATAATCAGTTAATTTGTACTGAGGGTCATAATCCTCAAACCTGAAAGGTCATTAAAATTGTATTTCCCCATTCTTCCCCCACACTATTAGCACACAGACTAGAAAGCAGACTTAAGGAAATTATGACTTATCTGTGAACATGAGACAGCTTTAAGCAACAATATTGGCCCTGCTTTGTATTATAGCCACATGTTCCTACTTTTTCAACAACCTTGAAAAATAAATATTTGAACTACAATCTTCAATAAAGTCCCTCTACATTTGTTGTCAGCCTTAATCACCTTTTGCTTGTCTGCTCAGTGCTTTTAGCTCTTAGATGTTGCACCTGGAGATTCCAGCCTGCTTTATGAGGTAGGTTTATATGCCCTTTAATTGAAAGCAAACCGCCTTAGATAATCCAGTGACAACAATGTTACAAGGTCCACTTTCCGTTAAAAAGCAAATAGAAATATTAGGCTGTTCTCTAAAATGAAGAAAAACACATGAAAATACAATCTTCCTTTATCAGAGATAAACCCCACAGTCTAAAATGCCTCTTTTGTGCTTTTTCTCCCCCGTGGAGGGAGTGGTGGAGTGCAAGGGACTGCAGTCCTCAATGACTAATCTTTTCTTACTATGACATTTCTCTGCCCAAAGAAAGACTTTAGTCACATAGTATGTTAAACATTGTATTCATGCTACTACAATAACTGTACCAACTTTAACCCCAAGTTTTATTTAATATTGTAGTTATTACTTGTTGAATATGGAAGAATGACAGAAATATAAGCCTCACTCCTAAGCAGTGTTTGCTACTTTTCTGTGTAGGTTAAAGTGAGTTTGTGAAATGACATAGAAAAGGTGACAGAAGAGGCATCTTTAAGGCAATGTAATTTCTGTAAGATAGCTTCATGATTTTAAATAGCAATATGACAAGTGATCAAAACTGAAACAATTGGTTAATATATGCTAGGGCTTTGTCTGCATAACTATGTACAGCATGTGAACACCGCTGGAATTGTTATATTGCACAGCTTGTATGGCTGAATTAGGATTGTAAGTACCAATGAAAGTTATTTTTTTTTTCTTAAAAAGGGCGAAAAGTTGCTGTTGATGGAATTGTTGAAGAAACAAATGGAGGTTTTAGAATATACAAAAAATCAAAACTTAGTACTATCTCCAAAAACTGAGATTTCAGCCAATATCAAAACTGTTAGAATATGGGGGAAACAGACCGGAAATATTTTTCCAAGTACCTAACAATGGCTTTCAAATAATAAGAGTAGGAAAAGCATTCAAGGTTAAATAGTAAATGCATACAATGGAGAAATACCCCTTTGGGATTACCATCTTCCACCCAAATGTCTTTGGTTTTAGAGAAAAACAAATTAGCTTCTTTTTGGTTTAATGAGACACACTAGATCAGTGATTCCCAAAGTGGGCGCTACCGCCCCCCGGTGGGCGCTGCAGCGATCCAGGGGGGCGGTGATGGCCACAGGTGCATTTGGGGGCGATGAGTAACTGCTATTAAAATTTTAAAAAAATTAATTTCCAGGGGCTGAGTAATATTTTTTCTGGAAAGGGGGCGGTAGGCCAAATAAGTTTGGGAACCACTGCACTAGATAAATGGGTTTTGTTCTTGACATAACCAAACAGCTCTTACTAGCTAAATATGCACTGTCGGTAGTCGCAGAGAAGGGCCTCAAACATGGTTTTATTTTGATTGAGCATCATACAAACATACAGATGTACAAATTTGCCTAGTATTTCCTGGAGCTGCTACTCTGCAATAGATTACACTGTAGCCGTAGGACCAGATTTGTTACAGTTGTGTGTGTGTCATTAGTAACTTTTCTAACGGTGCAAAAAAAACCCAATATAGGCTAAAAACAAAACAAAAAGCAAGGTCTCTTTTATAATTTGGTCAAATTAATATTCAATATAAGACAGCATGTCACTAAGCAAATTATTCAAACTACAGTGGGGAGATATTTTCTAAACACTGTGGTCTTAAGAACAAGGAATTTAATGGTAGGGCAAACCTATCTGTTCACTGTCCTCAAAACAGAACAAGACCAGAAAAGAACAGATTTGGAAGTGACTTTATGGGAAAGCAGGTTCAAAATAAGAAAATACTGATATAGTTATAGGATATAACTGCCTATCTCCTTCATCCCTTCCCACAAGGGTGTGAAAAGTGAATAAAGACAGCAACATTTTTTAAAAAGTTAACTTATATTAAAAATATTTTGTTTATAAACAATTTTAATACTACAACGTATTTCAATACAAAGCAGTTCAAAGATTAACTGTTCTTTAAACTGTTAAACTTTATTATAAATTAAAATTTCATTACAAAAAAATTGCACATAATATTTGACCACTCTTAGGTTCTGATGCACTGGTATTTGCAATCGTTTCTTTAATCTTCAAGTTAAACAGTCTCGGCAAGGAGTCCAGAACGTAGAAAGGGCAATAAACAACCCTGTTAGAGCATTCAAGTGCAACTAGCAGACTTGTGGCCATGGCAGTTACACTTTCCTTAAGATGGATTGCTTAAGTTTAAATCCTGAAATGAAGAATCTCAAAAGGTTTAAAGAGGAAGAACTAAAAGGGACTGCCTGCTTTTTACTGTAAACACAGCCCTGGAAATTAAATCCCAAACAAGAATCTCTCAGGCATCAGAGTGTCAAGTGAATCAGGACTAGCACAACATAAAAGGGGAAAGTAAAAAATAAAAACAAAAACAAAGCAAAATTAAAATATATGTCAGTCACTTTGAAGAACTATACTTACGTACATGATGTTATGAGAATCTGGCAGGGCCTAGAGGCAGACCAACACGAAGTTCATTTATCCAACCGAAGAGGATCATGTTCATTGCTTCCGATTTTGAGGGCAGGATATTGTAGGGGACTTGATATGATCAGTAATGCTTGTCTGCATTACACAGACCTTAGCCAGGGATCAGCCTAATCTTGAAGGATCATTCGAATAATTTTGGCAATTATTATAAGGACTTAGAACTGACTGTGCACCCAGTGTTCAGTGATTCTTGCTTTCTGTTTTGTAACTGTTTAAATTTAAGAGCTCATTTAGGCTGACTCCAATCTCTTGGCACTTGGAAACTAGTTTTCTCAGGTTATCAGTTTTACCTCCTTCTGAAGCTTCAAACAAGAGTTGCTGTAAAAGACAGGGAAGCATAGAAGTAAGATTTAGCTAGATTCTGAGCATTACCACATCAATGGATATGGCACATGCAGAAAATTTATAGGAAAACTTCAAGGTGAAATAAAAGATAAAAAGCATTACATCTTTCCACAGTGATGCACAAAGAGGTAACTTCTGTAAGGCTCTCTGATATAAACGGTGGACCTATAAGATAGATATACACACAATTCCATCAGGAAACATGGTGAAAAACACCTTCATAATTCTATGTGAACTATACTTATTATTATTCATAATTACTATGAGTATTCAAGATAAAATTGTTACATTGGGTTTGGGAGTTTCCAAACATTTACATTTCTTGGAATGTTAACTTCTATGCCTTATTCCTTTTAGAAGTCAATAAAAGGGGCAGAATAACTTAAAAAACATGACCCATCTGATAGTCAATTATGGCTTACCTCTCTTTGTCCCTTTAAAACAATCTCAGCAGCAATGGCTCTAAGAAAAAAAAAAGGAATATAGAAAAGGGAAAAGAAAAATTTATATATCTTTGAACAAAATGAGATACTACCACTGGCAGAATACTGACTGTGGGAATCTGAGTACAAAACTTCCTGAAAGTAACAGGCTAAACTTCCAAGGAGGGTAACCTATAGTGAAAAGAAAAATTCAACAATTTTTATCAACTTTACAAGAATAAAGCAGACCAGTGTTTTGAACATAAATAACGTTCAAGAAAAATTCGTAATTACTAGTAAAAAAATACCTGGCACTATCACCTTTAAGTCAGGGAAATCCCCGAATTTCAAAAAGGATGGTCTTAAAATGTGTGTAATAGATTTATGTATTTGATAACAGTATTGTTATCTAAATGTTCTCTTTCAAAAAAAATTACAATTCTATCTATTTTGCGTTTAAAGCAATTGTTTATGAGCTTTGTATGTTCATTATAAAATCTCAGCAGTTTCAAAAACAAATGTAAATTAAAAATCTGTCCAGGAAAAAAAAAATGAAAACAATAGATGTCATTTAAAATTTACCTGTCTGGAGCAAACTTTACAAATAAAAGCAATAGCTATAAAAACATATATATGATTGTTGCATTACATTTTCCAGGTGGCCAGGCATGTTGGGATATTATATGTAAACATCTTGGCTTGAAGTTTCAGAATCTGAACATTGCTTTCTTCCCATTCATGATGAAGTAGCCTGCAAAATATATTCAGGAAAATGAACAAAGCATTGCAAGTGTAGGAAACCCCAAATGTGCTCTATGAACAGAATGTTTGATGAGGTGCAATTTCTGGTCAGTTAAATTCCATCAAGGCTATTCAATAAGTATGTATAGAATGCCTCTTACAAAAATTACCCTGGGGCAGGAACATGCAAACTAGCAAGCGTTCCAGTCAAGACCTATGCCATCTTCAACAAACTAAAATAAGGCCCAGTAGTTTTATAGAATACTAAAGCATTCTCTCCAAATTATAACTCCATGTGCCTCCTCCCCCAAGTTTTCTAAAATAATGACTTGATACAACAATTTCCTGATATTTTTCTCTCTTTATTAAACAGAATATACTTAATTATGAGTGTTTCTTGAGCTAACATGTAAGTATAGTGACTACTAAGTTCTTTATTCTGAAAAAAAGACAAGGAAATTAAAAGCAACAAAACAAAGAAGTGGAGCATTACCAGAAAAACTAACAATTAAACTACCTATATTCCAGAATGCTATCCTAGCAGAAACTAGTCCAAAACAACCACATTTTCCTGTTTCACGAGTTTCACCAAAGACGATGTTGCATATCGTATACAAATTTCTATAATTGGTTTCTGTAGATTAGCATGCTTTCTAATAATTTTTTTAAATGCTATGGCTATTTTTGTCATAGCCTTAGGCATTTAAATGTGTGTCAATCTCTCTTTTTTTAATTGATTTTTAGAGGGAGAGGAATCATGATGTGAGAGTAAAACATGGAGCAGCTGCCTCCTGCACACCCTCTACCTGGGATAGATCAGCAACCTGGGCATGTGCCCTGGCCTGAAATCTAACCAGCAACCTTTTTGGTGCACGGGACAATGACCAATCACCTGAGCCACACCAGCCAGAGCTGTTTTTCAATCTCTTATACCCATTTTCCTACATACATGCTAAGAGGAATGTAAATACTGTGAAACACAAAGGAATATTTGATAAATATTTTAGGTACCTTAAGATCCAGCCATCTGTTTCTAAAACAAACTTAGAAACAGAAGACACAACTGATGCAGTGAGAATGACTGCACAAGTAGAAGCCAAAGCATTAGTATGTAGGGTACCTTTTTGAATTAAAAAGTAAAATTCTTAAGTGTAAAAATGAGTTTTCTCTATCAGAGAAGAGAAACTACAAAGAAATGCTCAATTAGATCTCCTTCTAATTGAATGTATGAAATCCCTGGATAAATGTTTCTCAAATGTGATTTGAGAGCTCAAGTTCAGGAATCTGCATTTGGTTCCTGGTGCATGCTAATATTTGAGATCAACTGACCTACCTGGAAATAAGTAATAGTAACCAAAATATATCAGGGGTGAGCAAAAGTATGTTTACATTTGTTCGTATGGAAAAAGACATGCAGATTATGATTATAATACAAGAATAAATTCTGTGTTTCATGTACTCACAAGTGTAAACCTACTTTTGCCAACTCAGATATATAGTTGGCTACTATCTCTGTAACACCTTAAAAATCTCTTAATGTTCCTTTGCCATGTAAAACCACACTTAGTGCTTATAATACCTATGCTAAGAATACATGGTATGTGCTTAGGAAACACAGATGAACTTTACTAAATTATAAGCCCCCTTGCCCTTGTAACCTGCACTGTTTCCTGAAGTAACCAGATATTTATACTGACTTTTACATGAGTAGCTATCTATTGCTTAACAACTCTAAAGTTGAAGTCATATACATCAGTGAAGAAGTAGTGGAAGAACAGACTGTTCTTATAAAGCTTAATAATAATTTTATATAAAAAGCCTATACTATTGGGCTGAGAACCAAAAGAATTTTTTTTCCTACCTCAGTGCAAGCCCAGAATTAGTTGGCATAATTGTGCAAAACTGTTCCAAGGTTTTGGAATGCTGGGTCTTTGGAACACAGCTCAAATAAAAGTAAATAACCTGCAAAGGTTGAGGGGAAAGGAAAAATAAACACAACAAGATGTGAAATCCAATTACCTATTTGTTTTAATGAGAAAACCAAAATGGTCTTAAGACATGAATGTATAAATTATAATAATGTATGATGCTATGAGTTACAGTTCCTACTATTAATTTTATTAGTGATTTTCAAAACATGAATTAGGAAATATGGTCTAGTGATGACAGCCATGGACTGAGAACACTGACAAGAAGCCAGGAGTCCGGGTTTTCATTCCTGAGTCTACCTTTACTTGCTGTATAGCTGGGCAAGTCATGGGGCTAATAATACCTGCCACATCTTGCTCATGGAATGCCCGTGTGTAAATGATTTAATGTCCATAAAGTGATTTGAGATCCTGGGATAAAGAATGGCATAGAAGTACAAAGCATAATAATTGGTTATCCCGGTTAGCAATACACCCTACCCCAAAAAAAGAAAACATGTATATGCATTGCACAGAATGAAAGGGGTCTCTGAAAATTTAAGAACAAAAAAACCTTTCATTGCTTATAAGAAGATAGCTTTATAAATTTATCATTAGTCAAAATTCTACTCTTAAAATTCTAAACAGCATCTGATTTCAGCTTTTTTATGCTTTATGAACAACCCTATTTCCTTGACAAAATATTAACAAAAAGAACAGCTACACTATTAAGCCCATTTTTACTGTGAAGTTACAGAATTTTTCATTCAGTAAAATTTTCAACTATTTGAGCAAAACATTACAAATATAATTACAATTACTTCTTTTGACCTTTCTTGTTTAATACATATTAAACCCTAACATCTCTTCAATTTTGCTTCAATGTTAAATTTTCTTAAATATACCATAATTGATATATGCATCTTAATCGAACCTTAAAGAGCTCTTTCTATGGTTGGAAGAGATAAGCAGTAAACATGATCAAGAAGAACAGTATTATAGAATTATACACTTGAAACCTGTATATTATTAACCAATGTCACCCCCCAAAATTTAATTTTTTTAAAAAGAGAATAATAAATGCTAGAAAAGTGATCCTAGGAAAAGCTCTCTTGATATAAAACAGGAGTTTTGCTGTCATTTTTTAAGGCCCATTCTTTTATGTAAACATCTAAAAAAAAGAAAGTTTTAAGTTCTTACCCTATTATGAAATTCATAGTTGGACCAGTAATCAGCACTGCTAAAAGGAATGGGATATCGGGCAGGGACTGTAACCAAACATCTATTCACTAAATCAGTAAACAATCTGAATTCTTGGATTTTGTTTCTGGATCCAGCAGCTCTATTATTGGCAAAGACAAGATAACTGCCAAAAGAAAAATATTATAATTTAGAATAATTAAGCCAGTAATTCTCTCATGAAGAAAGCCAATCACCCTTTACCCACCATATCCCCTTATTCCATATACCATTCTTATTAAAAGGAACTAAACTTACTCCATCCAAATCTTCTGCACTATATCAGATCTCATGGCCACCCCTAATGCTGCCTCATATGCCTCCACTGTCTCTTTAATGCTTGATTGAAGAGGATGACAAAAGCTGTTTAAAAAAATGAAGGAGAACACTGTATGTCTACAGCTCAATTCTATTAGGTAAAGGAATGATGAAGTATATTTTAAACATTACAAATATTACAATGGGATCCTTCTTTTGGTCTTTCTTCTTTAATAATGTATAAACCGTAGCATCCCTTAAATTTGGCTTCAATGAGTTTAACATCAGGTTGATTTTAACACAGTGTAATTCAGTAATAAATAACAAATGCAAGCCTAGTATGCAACATTTCTCTCCACAGCTGATAATGTCTCACCAGTAAATCAGCCACAAATAAGGAACTTGGTGGTTAAACATCTCATCCTCAAAATTCCCTTTACATAAATGGGCTGGAATGTCACGTGGTCCTGGGATATTTAAGAGATACCTGGGGGGAAAAATACTGTTTGAAATTATGCCTATGCACACATAAACTACTTTAAAGACAAACAAACAAAAAGAACCCCTCAGTTTCAACTTCAATTTCCTTGAAATATTTTTATAAGGTAATGACTTTAATTTTTACATGCATACCACATTGCTTTAGTCACATCTCTAGCATCATATAGTTATTATTTTATACCTGCATGAATAACTCATTCTTAAAATGATTTTTTTATTCTATCCCCAAAGTTAAACACAATAATCATCTAATTGAACCTAATTAAAACCAGAGAATAACAAATGAAGCAACCATATATCTAAAGTTGTCCCACAAAAATCTGCTTTACTCTTTTTAAATTTTTATTTAGTGATTTTGAGAGAGAGATCAATTTGTTGTTCCACTTATTTATGCATTCATTGGTTGACTCTTGTATGTGCCCTGACAAGGGATTGAATCCACAAATCTTGGCAGCTGCCTCCTGCACACCCTCTACCAGGGATAGATCAGCAACCTGGGCATGAGCATCAGTTTGATGCTCTAACTAGGGTAATCTGTGCTTTCTTCTAAAAAAAGTTCTTTCTCATAAAAAAAAAGTTTTACAAGAAAACTTGTAAAAAAAAAAAAAAAGTTGTATCATCCTATACACCAAGTAAGTTGCAGGGCGCATACCTAGGTTTCAGATTCCATCCCCGGTCAGGACGTTGCCAGGGCACATACGGGGAGGCAACTGATTGATGTTTCTCTCACATCCATATTTCTTTCTCTTTATTTCTCTCTCTCTCTCAAATCAATAAACATATCCTTGATGAGGATTAAAAAAATAAAGACAATCTCTCCCATACAAATACACACATACTATTACAGATTTAATATTAGACATGATATCAAAGTGTATTCTATAACATATTGGCTCATAAGACACATGTCCAAAAGAAGTCTATTGGTAAATACTGAAAACTATAGCCCCCTCCTGAAATGCCACCATACATATTAGGATATTAAAGACTCTAAAAAGTCAATTAGTAAAGGAATCTATTTGACTTTAACTAATTCAAGTTTCTCCCCAATATATTTGAATTTGTGTGTTTAATATTTACCAACATCTTCAGGAATCATGTTTTTAAAGATAATACATTGACCTCAACAATAACACACTAGTGTAACTGTTTACCTTGGATTTTAAAATTATTTCAAGGGGCTAAGTTTTAATGGATTAAAGAGGCTGTATGGGGGCTTTGGGGATAGGGGCAGATGGTAGAAAGGGAAGAAATAGGACATCTAGAAGTTAGGTCATCACCTCAACTTGGCCGTAACTAGCTATATTACCATAGAGCAGTGGTTCTCAACCTTGGCTGCACATTAGAATCACCAGAGAATCTTTTAAAATCCTGATTTCTGGGCCTCATCCTCCAGAAATTCTGTTTCTTTGTTATGAGGTTGTGGCCCCACCTCATAACAAAGAAACAGAATTTCTGGAGGATGAGGCCCAGAAATCAGGATTTTAAAAAGATTCCCAGGTGATTCTAATGTGCAGCCAAGGTTGAGAACCACTGCCATAGAGTTAATCACTTATCTTCTAAGGATATTAGTTTTCTCAACTGAAAACTGAGGTAAGACGTAGACGTAAATTCAAATCTAATCTATGTAAAATTCTATTCCTAGATAAAGTGAATGAAATCTCCAGGTTAACTGTTATAGTTATCTACTAATCTTCAAATTGATTTGAAACATATGACAATTACCACATCTAGCTCTTTCTGCCTTTATACTAAACTAGGGGCCTGATGCATGAAGATTCATGCACTGGGGGTGGGTCCCTCAGCCCGACCTGCACCCTCTCCAATCTGGGAGCCCTCAGGGGAGCCCTCTCCAATCTGGGGGTTTCTGTCTGTCTTTGCAATCATATGAGCGAACTTTCTGAGACCCCAACTCAGTTTGGTTTGTTGCTCACAGAATAATAGAGGCATTTTTTTTTTCTTTGCTTCATTGGTGGAGATTTCCTGGAAGTTTTAGGATATCTTCCCTTTAATTTTTCCTAGACACTCTGATTTTACTTATGTCTCTCACCTTTGCTTTCCCTCCATCCCCCACCACAACAGTAACTTGCTCCAGGCTCACTTTGCTCTAGTGCAGTGGTTCTCAACCTGTGGGTCGCGACCCCTTTGGCGGTCAAACGACTCTTTCACAGGGGTCGCCTAAGACCATCCTGCATATCAGATATTTACATTATGATTCATAACAGTAGCAACATTACAGTTATGAAGTAGCAACCAAAATAATCATATTTTGTAGCTGTCACAACATGAGGAACTAAGATTTATATTTTTTATATTTATTTTATATATTTAAATGCCATTTAACAAGAAAAATCAACCAAAAAATGAGTTCACGTGTCACTCTGACATGCATTTTGAAAACCCCTAACTTAACTCCTGGGCCCGTGTCACATATAGAAATTTTTTGATATTTGCAACCATAGTAAAACAAAGATTTATATTTTTGATATTTATTTTATATATTTAAATGCCATTTAACAAAGAAAAATCAACCAAAAAAATGAGTTCACGTGTCCCCCTCTGACACACGTGTCATAGGTTCGCCATCACTGGTCTAGGAGATCCGTATGCCACCAGAACTACGATTCCCCAGCATTCCTGGCCTCCCCGCGCTCAGCTCTGGGGGGCGTGGCTCCCTCGGTTCTCTGGAGTGCGCGAAAACATTCTGTCAACTCCTACCTCCCACTCTCTCTCTCTCTCTTCTCTCTGTCGGCTAGGGGGGGAGCGCACGAGGGACACATGTCCCCCCAATCTGCTGGCTCTCCCGCTCTGCTCTCCGCCCGGCGCCTGTTTATGTAAATTAACCCGCCCTCTTTGGCAGGTTAATTTGCATACTTACTCCTGATTGGCTGGTGAGTGTAGCGGAGGAACAGTCAATTTACATGTTTCTCTTTTAGTATATAGTATGTTACATAGAAAAGGAAATAAAGTCAACCTCTAAGTAAATATTAGAGTTCCTAAGTTTTTTATTTTATAATTTCTACTCCTGAGATTTTTTTTTACCTATTAACAGCCCTGACTTCTATTAATAAACTTTGTCAATATATATATACATTTAAAAATTTATATCAATATCAGTAAATATGACAATGCCCAAAACTATCTTACACTTACTGCCATCCTTCTTAATATTTGACTTAAAAAAGATTTCCAGCCCTAGCCAGTGTGCTCAGTGGATAGTGTCGGCCAGTGGACTGAAGGACCCCGGGTTTGATTCCAGTCAAGGGCACATACCCTGGTTGCAGGCTCAATCCCCAGCCCCGTTTGGGGTGCATGCGGAAGGCAACCAATCAATCGGTGTGTCTCACATCAATGGTTCTCTCTCTCTCTGTTTCTCTCTCTCTTCCCCTCCTTTCCACTCTCTCTAAAAAAAAAAATCAATGGGAAAAAATATCCTTGGGTGAGGATTAACAAACAAAAAAAGATTTCCCAAATTAACAGAAATGCACACTCTGTGTAAATAAGGTTTTCAGACATACCTAAAAAAAACTCACCACCAGATATCTTTTTCTTGTAACTCTGGATGAATTATGAATTATGACTATTCCCACAAAAAATTTAATAAATATGACTTAGTAAACAACCAGAAGATTATTTAGAGGCAATGTCTTTTCAAATGTTTTTTGACACTGTTATTTATCCTGCTTCATTAGTTAACATCAAGATAATCTGAAGATCCTTGATTAGTTACTACAGCTAAAACTGGTAACATCTTTTAAGCTAAACCAATTATATCCATGCCCAATGGGAGACCAAAATCAGCAAGTGTGTAAAAAGTTTGGTTCAGCTTTGGATCTATCCTGTGCTGGAGTTTGAGATGTTTTAGCTATCTAATTTAAACAGGAAGAAAGTCATGGGAAAGCTGAATAATCTCTAAATTCCTTATAGAATAGTTTAATTCTTCTCTATTAATTTGCATTTTAATTATTCTCTTGTAATTTATTCTAAGCTACTAATCTAGATATAACACAGCAGAAAGAATTTTAAAAGAGCACTGAAATCACTGTCAATAAACTGACTACCATAAGAGGACAGATGTAAAGACTAAGTCTAGGAAAGAATAGTGGTTCAAAACTTTTTTGCCAAATCTCCAATAAAACTGCCATGCTCACAAAATATTCTACAGTGGATGCACCAGCGACTTAACAAAATGTGAGTTGTTTTTAAAAATATTTTTATATAGCCTAGCCAGTGTGGCTCAGTGATTGAGCATCGACCTATGAACCAGGAGCTCATGATTCGATTCTGTTAGGGCAGAGGTTTTGAGCTTATCCCCAGTATGGGGCATGAAGGAGGCAGCCAATTGATGATTCTCTCTCATCATTGATGTTTCTATCTCTCTCTCCCTCTCCAAAATCAATAAAAATAGTGTCCTGATCACTACAGAGAGGTGAGGATGAAGAAGGGAAGAGAACTTAAAAAAAAAAAAATTCTTCATGATCTGCTATGACCTTGTTGTTAGAAAAAGAAATCACAGTGAAACCAAAGCAGTAAATACAGAGCTCTACATAAGTTACTAAGAAAGTGATGGTTGAGAAAAGAATCCTATAAAGCTTCTTACTCAACATTTCAGAAGCGAGAGTTCTCTTTAGAATAAAGAGGAAAAAAAAAAGTATGAGGCAAATTATTTATATCTACTTTATTTAGATTACCAATAAAATAAATTAAAACTCATTTTTTAAAAAATCACTTATTGTCTCAGGATAATTCACTGCTATGGTATTGTATGCTAAAATTAACAATAACAATAAATTAAAAGCAGAATGAGTTACCATAGTGTTAATATAAACCTTCATTAGTGTCTTTAAAGATTATAACACATTTTACAGCTTTCTGTTTCTATTAAATTCTATTGCCTTCCTAATGGTCTAAGAAAGTGTTCAAATATTTTTAAAAATTATTTTAAAATGTAGTCAATCCACACACACAAAAATCTGTAGTCTTCCCACTGAACTATACTCTCATTCCTCTGCAAATTAAGAGTTCTACAAACTTACCGAAACAGATCCAAGTTATTATACTTCTCAAACCCAGGTTTAAAGAAGGATGCAATAAATTTCCGCAAAAATGGAAGAAGATTATCCCCTCGATTCTATTTTTAAAAGAGGAAGGAGGAATACACGTTAGACTTACAATGTTTAATTAAAATCTTTCAAGGGAGGAAAACCCCTAAAATTCACTATTTGAGTAGGTTTCTTGAGTAGGTGGGATAGAGATCATTTCTATATTCTGATTTCCAAATTAAATTAAACAGCTTGACACCCAATACACCACAGTCTCAAGTTGCAGCCACCAATTAACTATTAAGCTTCTAATATATGTTTGGCATCGTGCTAGGTAGGTGGTGGGGCTCCAAATCTGAGTAAGACATGGTCTTTGCCCTCAAGGAGTTCTTAACATAGAATACAAAGCAGCTCTAAACAAAATTACAAAGCAATTTAATACGCGCAATGGTAGAACTATGCACAGGGTATTTTACAGCAGAGAGAG